GTTAGTAACTCTCTGCACTGTACCGCAACATTTACTTCTATATATGTGCCAAATTTGATCCACCTAGGTTAACTAGCAGTGAGATATCATGCGAAAGTTACTTCCGTCCTTAGGTTTTGCACACCAGTGTATGATGTGTGATTGTAACGGTAGTGCCCATTTCCTCTCGCATTCGTGTATAGCACACCTTTCTGAACGCTTCGAGTAGACTGCGATCTCAAACAGGGCTGGAAGCGCACTTCGCAAACTCGAGGATAAAGTTATAGGCAGTTTCTTCGCAATATTTCTAAATCCGTTATAGGCAGTTTCTTCGTAATTTTCAAATCCATTACGCTAGTTGCTAGATCAGGCCCTCTGCGAGATACCTAAATCAATGCTATGAGGCCCACTAACTGACGTCGAGCTGCGTGGACCAGGGTGAATATCGGTCGAGGAAATCCTCGACAGGGGGGTCGTACCTGTTGGGCTGGTGGGGGTCGTACTCTGGGGTCAGTAACAGCAGTGGTATCGTGGTGCAGATAGGTAAGAGGGTATAGCGCAGCAGAAAATGAAATATGTGAAAAAAACATATAAAATATTCTTTGCAGGTTCAGTCGCTCCATTCCTCCACCTTCATGAGAAGGACGTATTTGAAAGCAGTACAAAGAATGAAAGTGCATCCCGCAAGGAAGAGGGCCACATGTGCACACGCGCTGCAAAGGCACCTCCTCTATCTACCGCCGCTCCTCTCCCTTAATACCTCGTTGAGAATGACACTGTTGTTAGGGACCTGTCGCAAAAACGACAACCGTGAAGGAAAAGCCCTGGGCAAATGAAGTTGTTCTTTAGGTTGTAGGAGTTACGAAATGCGTTTACTACAATGCAGCTTCTGTCAACTGGTCATGATCATATAACACCTTCAATCGATTCTGCAACTTCGAGTGAGGTCGGATGCATGGCCTATACCCAGACAAAATCGGATGATGACGATTGCCCCTTTTCTTATTGCTTATGTTGGAAGAATGTATTCTAGACACATTTCGAGCGTTGCCAACGAATTACACTTGCAATGGTGAAGAAGGGAGCGGCTTTTTGAGCGGCCGAGAATCATCCTCGATAGATCCTCGACGCAAATATCTCCTCAACTAGAGAATGTAGAAGGAAGCTAAACATACTTAGAAAGCGCAAACCTTCCGCTTTCCAAAACTGTCTTCGTTTTTCAAGATCTTGCAAAATTAGAGAGATATTGCCTTTTAAGCAAAAACTCGCATGAAAATTTCAGCATCCTCGACGCTGATTTTGAGAGACTATATCTCTTCGAATGGAAGGCTTTCATAGCAATTCCAATACTGCCTGATAGTAGCAAATCTAGCTCTATCTAACCCTACCGCGTGCTGCTTCAAAGGTTGGAAATGGAGGAATGGAACCTTTTCATCGAGGGTGTAGATTTCGACGGTTTTTTTTGGGATTTCAGCAAATCTGACCCAGGGACAAATCGCGCCGCAGCTGCCGTTGAATCGGCCGTTGATCGATACACTCGGCTGTTGTGATTTTGCGTATGCTCTGTTTTAGAGGGGGTCGTGCCAAGACCTCGATTTCGGGGGGGGGGGTCGTACTTCTGCGACCCGTGCTCGACCTGATTTTCGCCCTGGCGTGGACGATTAAGCACTTAATCAAAGATATGTCGTTTCCTGAAAGTCATTGTGGGGCAAGTGCTCATCCGAATGCTTCCACGAGTCATCGACTCACAATTACGTTCTTTTATATCTATACACTGGAGCCGGCTCGAGTTGGGACACTAACTTTGCTAAACTTCTAATAAAGGGGAGTCCAGGAAAGTGATAAGGACCATTTTACGTGAACTATCACAATTGCAAATAAAATAGCCTAACTCTCCTGTGAGGAAAGCGCTACAAACGTATCGTTGTGCCAAATGTCTACAAAGGACATCCTCATGCGCAACGCACACAGTAGATGTTCTCATGCTCAAACCAAATCGAGATTTCGACACTGACATCCCAAAAGCGGCATAGTCATGGGTAGCTAATGGTGCAACTTGGAAATTCTACTGACATTTATTTTGTATATGATTCTTCCGATACTGAATATTCTAATTCAATTCAGTCATTAAAAATTAGTTTCAGTGAGCAATGATAAAACAATTACGATGAACTCCATTCAATGACATTCAAGTGAACAAGGATTTGAGCGGATCCGAAAAATTAGCGGATCCGTTCCTGCGATATCGACTCTGTGAACCTGCTGTAGTAACCGCCAAGCCAATCTGTTACTTCCATTGAATCGGTGATGGCTAATCTTCTGCCGCTCTTCAGTGTGTTGTGGGAAAGGAAAAATTTTCATAATTCCCTCTAGAATTCACAGTTCTGAAAAACAAATTCAAGATCAGCATTGGGAAGCAGATCACAACTGACCTATTCAATCTGGAATCCTTGTAATAATCGTGCTTGAGACAAAGGATGTTCCAGAGACACTTTAAAGACTGCATCAGTTATGAAAGTTGTCGTGAAAGTTATCGCGCTCTCGCTATCATGGGCTGGGTTTCACTTGTCCCATTCTGTGTATTGAATCTCTCCCTTTTAGCCGCTCCTATAGATATGGGCATGGTTGACGCAAGAAAATAGATTGGACCAGTCTTTAAGCGAACAAAGAGTGAGGCTATAACTCACGAAAGTTCTTCTAGCTGTTGGCTTTCAGCATCAGCTCCGCTGCTGCGAACCATCTCACAGCGAATTTCTCTCTTTTTCCACAATTATACATTTGTCTGTCTACCTCTCTTCACTCAAATCGATCAAAAAATTCTTCACATCTCAAGAGCTATAATCGGCAGCGGTTCCGTTTTCTACTCATTTTATTACCGATATTTTTACATCTTCCAGTCGAGACCGAGATTTCTTCAAAAACATTTCATTGCGACCGTTTGAAGCCAAACAGAACCTGACCAGAGCGAGTTCTTCTCATGGATATAGGACGTTGCTGAATCGGTTCTTAATTCAATCGGGTTTTCCTTGTTTCAAAGGCCCATCTACCATTGTCCTCCTTGGGTCATTTTAAAACATATATTTACATCGTGTATCGGTAATCGTGAGATTTTTCTCTCAGTTGCTATCCCACTATTCCTAACGATTCTTTTTCCATTCTCACCTTCCTAGTGTGTTTCTTGGTGAGCACTTGAAATGATGCTTGCTTACTTTTGCGGCTGAAATCCCAAAATTGCAGCCCTGCTTGAGCTGTTTCTACGTGGGTGGTTAGGACTATACTATCGGTAACACCTGTTCATGATCGCTACTTATGAGGACCCGCAAAACTCGCGATAAGCTGTGCCAGGCATGTGCCAACGAGACTGTGATCCACAACATCCGCGAGCGTTCCTTTAAACTTGCCCTCTGTTTCAGAAAAACAGAAACATTGAGTGCAGACCACACACCACAAGTGACGACGGCCTCCAAGTAAATCTGGTAACTAGTGATTCATAGTGATAGCTGATAGTTGGTAAATGATAGTTGTAATTAGTGACAACTGATAGAATACATTGCAACAGGATTGGCAGAGAACTTACATGTTTGGAGGTCGTCGTCTCTTGTGGTGTGTTCTGCACTCAAGCGCTTCCGGTTTTCTGAAACAGAGGGAATGTGCTGACGGTCAGTTGTGCCGCTTCGATGGCGATTTGCTGTTATGAGAAAAAACTTCCGAGCCTTCTGAAAGATAAAACATGTCAGGAAGTTGCGCTTAGGAATGCACTGAATGAAACCAGACGCTCAAGAAACCCAATCTTTCGAGCAATTATTGTTGTTAGATTTTCGAAATTCGCCATGCACTTGCCGATTATCCGAATTCCCGTGGCTGACTGCAGCGCAAAGACAAATAGTGAATTGTTCGCAACACCTAGCTCCGAATTCGTGTAGGTTAACACCGCCTTTTACTTTTTAATCAAACGTATTATAGCCTAGCTGGGCTGAGCACAGTAGAATAATTCTAGAAACATGTTTGTGCGGATGTGTCATGCTCGACTTAAACTGTGGTAGAATTGTCACTCTTCGGAGAATAGAGGTTGGCCGGTTGAGGGCGGGTGCTAATTCATAGATTTGGCCGTCCATTCGTGCGGCTTGAGCTCCATAAAGTTCACCCAGGTATAATAGTATTTCTCTTCCTGACATTCCTTAACTGCAATTTTGGTAACCCACGTGATATCAGATAGCGTCCAGAGCTTCAAAAAGCCCAGATTATGTCGATTTTCTCAAGGCCGAGGTCTTCTGTACTACTTTCTGCGATTACGACGTGAGGGGAGCTTCAACATACGTTCTTCAGAACTCATTTCAAAGAATTAGCGCTATAAGTTAGAGATGAGAAGCATTTCGCGAGAGTTGTTAGGTGTGGTTTGGTGTCGGACGCACCAATGGACAGGGTGACCTTCATACCAGCCATTTCTGAGAAGCTGTTTGACCGAGTTTTGAATAACAACTTCTATTTCCTACACTCACTTATGATCCGCTGCTTGCATGCTTGTGTCGCGCTATCTATACGAGCATACCCGATGTGAAAAGCGCTTAAGTACTCGAATCTTCTTTTATTATTGCGCTTTGAACGTCTAACGGGCTATCGTTGAATGATTCTTTTACCATTACCTTATCACATATTATCGATATCTCTCCACTGTTTCCATTTGGATGCGCTGTTCACATTCAAATCGACCCAATTTTTTCGTTACATTTCATCATCCGTTATCAGGCGCACATACACGACGCCGCACTCGTCTGTTTCAGGATTCCCGTTGTGAGAGCAGGTTCTTGAGACAAGCTCTGCTGGGGATGTGAATGGGTCGCACACTTCTTCTCATAGTCACAATTCCACTTCTCGCCACTTGTCATGTGCTATCGCGATTGGCCGATTTTCAAGATATCGTACGCCAACGAAAAAATGGAAACAATATTGCTCAGGTAGATGACTGACAAAGGATTAATTTTTGACCTGAAAACCTATTCAAGAAAAGGAATCAAGGGTACTGATAACCGATTGTCATACAGTCACGCTAGAACGGTATGTCTTGGAGAAACAAGTCGAGTGGAACCGTGCATCGGTGTTTGAACATGTAAGAACGTTCCTAAGTGGTGGTTTTTGGATTGATTCAGGTTTCAAGTTCACCATCACGCGTATTGATCAGCTGCACTGAATCATTCAAGTCGCCAACTTGAGGGCAAAAACTACCACATTAATGCTGAGCAATGACTAAGCAACAAGGGCTGGCTCGTTCAGGTGGACTCATTTTCGCTAGAGATCTGGTTTCAAAGACCACCTGACCTGCAATAGGTTCCTGAAAGGGGACTATGGTGAAGAACGGTAAAACACAAGCATACTATGAGCGCTTCTTTATTGTGCTGAGAAACGGACTTTGGATAAAATCACTAGCTCTGCTTGTAGAATTTGCTCGAAGTTGGACACTTATGGTCAAACACATTTATGATAAAACATTTAGATTTGAGGGTTAAAATAGCCCGCAAATGTTTACAAATTAATTTCATAGTTAGGAATCGTATTATATTGTAGCATATAACAAGAATGGTGTGCTGCTACTACATCTGTCAGAGACGCAGAATCCCAGTACTTCGAGGCAAAAGTTAAAAAAGAAATATGAAGCTGTTATTCAGCGGAGCACCCCCTTCCCCCGTTTGATAGTGTTAGCTCTCATAAGGAGAAGGGGATCGCGCCGGTTGCAGAAAGAGCTTTCTCAGCACAAAACTTCCGTACCCTCACATTGCTCGTTTTTTTTATTTTTATCTCTCTATCCTGATGTTTAATTGAAGAGTAGGAAAACGGAACACTTTCGGTGGAAGTTCAAATGCTTCCTGTATTCATCTCTGGAGCGAACGCCAAGTTGCTTGCGGATCTGCGGAGGGGAATTTCGTTTCATCCATAACTTGTCCATTCCCCGCGTCGAATCATTTAGACACGGGCTCCCTGACTGTATATGAAGGCACGATTCTCGCAATTGGGAACAGGTGTCAGGCTAAGTCGCGGCCGGAGAGTGATTGACATATTTTGCCAACTGTTGGTTCACCAGCTAGGGACAAGAGGGTAAGAGGGAGGAAAATTGCTTAAACCGAGCAGGCGCCGCGTTGCGCGCTCACGTATCACGGCCTTTAGGTGCTCCGAGGCCGGGTGGTAAACGGAACATGGCCTCAATCGTTTAGGTGGTAGAGGCTGCGAGTTGTTTGTTGTGTAAGGAAATGGGTGATCGAACCCTAGCTTCCAGCGGTGTAGTGCTGGTGCCGGAGGAGCGGGCGATGCACGATATTCGTATCTGGACAACCAAAGGGCGGAGGAAGGACCACACACACAAGTGACGACATCGTCCTAGTATATTTGGTTACCAGTGGCTCATAGTTGGCAAGTGATAGCTGTAATTAGTGTCAACTGATGGAGTACAACTGCTACCGGCTAATCATTTCATTGGCAGAAGAATTTACGGGTCTGTTGTCCGACGGCGGGGCATCTGCAGACGTAATTGCTATTGACAAAAGAGAACATGTTAGAGCCTGTCATATATACTGAAGCTCTCCACTTAGCAAACTAAGACATGTCAAGAACTGTGACGTATTCTGAGAGAACTGACCTATTTCCTGCCCTACCTCTCTTTTTTTTTCCACATCCAGAAAAAGTGGCGCACCACAAGATATCGGGCTTCCCTAGGACTAAGCCTCGGTGTGAGGGGGTGGGCAGGAGTTCAGGAGTTACGAAAAAGATGAAAATCACTCACTCTGGAGTCTCCCTTTCCTCCGCCAAGGCTTAGTCCCTTTTCTAACAGAAAACAATCGTTTGACGCGGTTTTACTTACGTGCGTTATCGTCGCATGCTCGCATCTCTTGCGATAGGGCCTTATTTTGTTTGTTTTGTTGTTTCTTCGAAGCTTTAGATGAATGTTGGTTCTTAACATGTTCTGGTTTGTTTGCTGTTAGAAGGCGTTGCTCTTTTTAACACGTTTTGTTTCGTTAGCACGTTGCAGCAGCAGATGCCCCGCCGTCGTACAACAGATCCGAATTTACATTTTGTGGAAACCTCGTTAGTTGTGATGTGGGGTCTGCACTCGACGCGCATCTGTTTTCGGGAGCAGATGGTAAATGTCTGCGTCTTGTTTCATACTGCTGCAGAATTTCATCATGTTTCATTTTGCGCTACGGTTTCTGTACCATAAATATTTTGCAACCATATTTATGGTGCAGCATGCACTTTCTCAAGTGGTTTTTGTCCTTCCAGGTCCTAAGACGGTGATAGCGCCGAAAGGTCAGTCCAATAAATCGTTACTCATAGTCTCGAATATAAGCGAACTATTGTGAAAATTCAACCGGAATGATCCTTAACAGTTTTTTTTGCTTTCTTTCATACTTGGTGAATCAACCACTATAGCCATGTTAATTGCGAACGCAATTCCCTCAGCTGTTCAGTCGCGAAATGTGCCTTGAATAACGCGATTATACTTGGCGAATATTGACTTATTTGTCAGCAGCTAATAAGAATTGGGATCAAAGGCACGTGCATGCTTTACAGTTGCTCTACCGCATTCACTACTTATCAGTCATTGAACAGGAATGAGTCAGGGAAAAGTTGGCGAGCTAGACCAGATTTGTAATTAGTGCTACTTACAGTGTCCATGTGTAATCCATGCTGAAAGTGGACGGTGTATCGTTTACAACTCGCGCTATCAAGCCGCCAATGTTGAAGAAGCTATGCTGGCGTTCCATGACCTGACGTCTCGTCATGAACCTGCACCTGAGCGAGTACGTTTCCTACATAGCATGTTTTAGTCGTAATAAACCTGGTAATGGGCAATAAACGGCAGTATGTCCGAAACGGACTGAAGTAATTGTCGTTTGTTATTTTGATTGGAAACGAAGGAAAGTATGTGTGCTAACTTTGTCGTCCCGTTTTTGTCGTGCATAATCTTCTTCAATATTTCGGTGCATTTTTCTCTCATTTGAACTGTTTGTTCGATAAAGATGTGAACGAAATGGAAAGGA